ACCTGTCCAATTTGATTCAAAGTTTGCTGAAGAAGACGACATTTTGGCTGATGGAACCTTTGTGAGGAAAGGCACGAGGGTAACCTATCATCCCTATGCAATGGGTCGGATGGAGCGGGTTTGGGGCTCCGATTGTCTTGAATACAAGCCAGACAGATGGTTGAAAAACGGTATATATATTCCCGAAAACCCATACAAGTACCCAGTTTTCCAAGCTGGGCCAAGGGTCTGTTTAGGGAAGGAAATGGCATTGGTAGAGATGAAATGTGTGGTTCTAGCCATAATCGGTCGGTTCAATATCCGGGTTGCCACCGATCCGAATCAGGCACCAAGGTTTGCCCCTGGTCTCACCGCCACCGTGAGAGGTGGGTTACCAATTCTAGTGCAAGAAAGGGAAGCTAATTAATCAAGCCAATCGTGCCTCCGATTGTTGGGAGCCACTCATGGTTAGTTAATGCACAATACGGAGGTGCAGGTTAGCATTTGTGGGGTAGATGCTAAGATAAGCAAACCCATCTGGGTTGAATTTGACAATCTTCCAACAGAAAGTTAGTCGGGTTCATCTAATGGGTCAAACGGGGTGGGTATGTTTCGTCCTGTATATCTTCACCAGACATGTAAATATCTAGGATCTGTCTCTGTCTCTGTACCCAAGGCTCAAACTGTATCCTTTTCAAGTTTTGACACGAGAATGCCAATGTTACACTTATTATTATTGTTATTATTTTGATAAATAATGTTACACTTATTACCCTCCTAATCTTTTTACTCTTGCAAATGCATTAAAAGTTTTGTATAAGAAGACCAATTTATATATAAGGGACCATTTCCGGGATTATAACATCCAACTACATTCGTTTTGATTGGTCCTCAACAGATAACGTTCAATAACGATGGGTAGAATGTAATTGTCTTGTTCTGTAATTTTTTATTAAGAAAAAGAAGAAGTAAAAAGGGTGTTGATCAGATGATCAGATTGACAGTATGCTTGTATTCACCCCTTAAAAAAGTTTAAATGGATCCCACCATACATTAGAGATGACGGATGTGCCAACGTAATTGATCTCAGTTGAGAATTTAGCAACCTAGAAAAACCAAAACCTATAGATATAAATATATCTTAGTCTCACATGAAGGGAAACAAAGAGATGCAAGTGCTCATATAGAATCCAACAGTTAACAAGTTAGTTCGCCACGAATCTGAATTACTAATATTTAATAATACCAAAAGGTTCGGTGTCTGTTTCCCAGCAATATATAGAAGTTCACATGGAGGGTGTTAATCCCATAAAATATCCCACCGTGAGAGGCTTGTAAGCCATGGATAAGGTGGGCCGCGCCCCGTGATTTCCACTACTTTATTATTATTTTTCCCCAGGCAAGGGGTAACGTGCCTTACCACCACGTTCATTCCCTCTTTTGCCACCATTAGCTGTTTGATGCTTTAATTCTTTCTAATATTAACTCTAATCGATGTATAATTAATTCAGGGTCAGAAGAATTAGATTTGGATAGTTTGATTCAAAATTAGAGACTTTTGATGATTAATTTTAATTGAAATTTTAGACGAATTCATTAATTTTTAAAATGAATATTCTATTTTAAAATTTTATTTTCTAGACATATAAGTTTAAAGTCAATTGTTAGTCGTTAGTTGATGACATAGTAATATTAAAAAGATAATTTTATACTTTATTAACTTTAAAAATTACTATTATATAAGTTTTTTAAAAAAAAAGTTTAAGGGAGCACAATTGCTCCCCTCCTTGGAGGGTTGGCTCCTTGAATTTTTTTTTTCAAAAAAAAAATAAAATTAATAAAAAAAATATTTAATTTTTATATATTTTTTTATTAATAGTGTTTATATTTTTGAGATAGATTGTTCATTTTTAATATAAATAAATTCACAAAAATAATACTTAAAAATTAAAAAAAGAGATATATTACCCTTTGTTTATTTGTATTTGTTAATATTTTTTTTAAAAGCATATTTTATTTTTCAATTACGGACTTATATCAAGACAAGCCTTTAGTTTGATTGACAAAAAATTTTAATAACATAAAAATCTGATGTGAGAAAGATCGTTGTATAATTACAAAAAATTTATAGCATAAAAAACCACCATCAATTAATCATCACAAAGCTAGGACATGGACAAATGATCCTTCAAAGAACAACCTAAGAACCATGAAATCAGCATAAACATACACAGGAGATCATGATTTATTTGCCACTACCTTGATTTATTATTATTTCTTTTCCGAAGCCAAGCTGTAAGTTTTTTTTTTTCCACATTGGAGTACTTAGATCCATGTTTTTGCAGAGATGATTCTAGAATGATGTACTAGAAGAAAGTCATTATTGTACTTTTATTATATTTTTCTGAGAATTCGTTTTTGACAATTGCCTCTTATGATGGGTGGGAGGCCAAATTTCAGCTTAATTTTGTTGTCAAAAGCCAAATCCAAGACATTCTTTTATAGTTTTATATATTGGCCTGTATAGGCTATAAAACCATATTGACACGAGCTACAAGTTTTAACATGGTCGTTTACACCTCCTATGGTTAAATCAGCTTATCTTTCAACAGTTGACACTAATTTTAGAAATCGTTTTCTCATTAATCATGAGATATAAGAGAATTTGATCTTGCATTGTTCCTGACTGTCATAAAAACATTTTATATTGATCAGGAAAAGATTCCCAGTGGAAGCTTCTTAATTTAATGATCATATAAATTTAAATCATTTAATTGACCGGAAATTCTCATTAAATTATTGATATAGAAGATTCCCTTATGGCACACGGTACACTGTATTATTGGCTCTCATTCTAAAAATTTGTAAGCACAAGAAAAATTCATGAATTAATTATCAAATTTTAAGCATTTTTCTATCTAGAACAATAAAGGAGGAGCTCTGACTAAAACATAATCAAAAAAATATGATATTCAAGAAAAATATTGTAATAAGAAACCATGCAGTGGGCAGGTGTAAGATTCATCCTCACCACGAGAGCGGTAAGTTTTTCAATGGAAGAAATTAAGTTTTTATTGGAGCATTTATATTTGGAAAAAGTAGGTAGCAGGAAAAACGTGGTAAGCTGCATTAATTTAGTTCGTCAGGTTTTGCCTCGTGGAAATGTCTTGCATGGTACATATAATCGTTACAAGCCATCAATTCCCATCAAAGCCTGGACCTCGTTCGACTCTATCGCCTATTCATTCTAATTCCAGCAGTTGGGTTTTCGTCAACTGAAACGCTTAACTCTTGCTTGGGCTGCCGGTTTAAACGTGGTCCTTTTTTACGAAAAGCAGTATTTTATTACTCCATCACCAGCTTATGCCATGACAAGTTTTAGGCTTGAATTGCAAGAGACTTTGGCGACATAAAGACTCTGATGTGGAAAAGAACTGTGTGCAATTGCAAAAAAGAGTTTTGTACCGTAAGGACCATTGCCAGACCAAGATCAGTGCAAAGCAAAATCAATGGCAATAAATCCCACCAAGAACAACAAAAGCCTCAGATCTTCCTAAACCATCAAGCAGAGAGCATAAGAGACATAGGGCAACAAAACAAAGTCACCTATAGGAAACAGGGACAAAAAGAAATCACAAAGGTTTAGAACTTCAACACAAAACGCTCTCTGCAATCCAAGACAAGCAGAAAAGCCACTCAAAGCGACGAACGCAGCAGTCATGGATCATTCAGTCCTGAATGTAGTCCTTTTTCATATATATTTATTCTTCACCCTGTCTCATGCTGCTTTCACTTCCTTTAACCTGATTGTATGTTTTTTTCTGTTGAAATTTTAGTATAAAATTAATTGATTATCCTCATGCTTTTTGTAGAAAATAAAGCATGCACCTATCGACGATGGATTAACAATTGCAACATTAAATAACATTTCCGTGCTCTTTAGCCCTCATACTTTCTGTAGGTGACACCTGCCACGGCAAAACAACAGGCGCAGAAAACCTTTGTCCTTGTTCTTCAATTAATTTATGTAAGAAGAATCACATGCATGATGCAAAGTTGCAAACCACTGATAACTCTAGTATGGGTTTGCCGGTTTAAATATCTTTGTGTTTGTCGGGCCGCTCGTTGCTTTCTGTCGGCATACGTGGATTCCATGATACAAACTGCAACCAAAAAACTCCCTCAGCTTATTCTCTTGGATCGAACATTTGTCCTTTCTTGCCTTGATTGATATTTTAAATGTGTAATTTCCTAAATTAGGATAAAGTTTAACCTTATTTGAGACAAAACAAAAAAGAGTTTATCAATCAAGTCAGCTTTTTATTATATATGGAAAACGTACCAAGAGTCGAATATTTATAAAAGTTTAACCTGATTTTAATAATCACTGGAGCCAAGTTTAAGTGACACGTTTTGCGTGGTGAGGAAGAGTCCATGCACGCCACGCCGTTCTGTGATAGATACGTTCAATGTGTAAATGTAAAGCAAAAAGGAAAAGTTATAGAGCGATCCGTGATCAACATGGGCTGCACGTTGAGTTGTTGAAGCAATCTTAATTTTCAGCTACAGGGCAGCAATATTCAAGCCATGACCGACTCTTCAAAGCATATAATGCATTAGGTTAATTAGGAGAAAGAGAAAGTAGTTTGAAGAATATATTTAATTTAGGTTTGAAAGCATGAAACAACATGGATATGTCGTTTTCATTTCAAGAAGGAGAGCTTCAATTCTCCCAAAGGTAAGTGCCACGCTTTTGTAATTGTTAGGTGGACGAATCTTTATTGGCAGAAAGCATGCATGAAGCAACATATATAGTTATGTTGCTTTCGTATGAAAATTATTATTATTTTAATTAATTGGTCCATGAAAATGAGATGTTATCATTTAATTACTGATTTTTAGAACTAGTTTGATTTTTTGAACATGTTGTGCACGTTTTAAACAAGGGAGAAGCCGTGCGGTGGAAATGGAGGCAGTGACAGCACCATTTTCGCTGCGTTGAAAGGCAGGGGGTGCAACCATTTTGTGGTCCAAAAGATTGCTTGAACCCTGCCTTCTTCGGCTGTACACATCAATCGGCTGTCAATTTCACCATCCACAAAATGACTTGAATAATGCCTCCATTTGTACAGCGACCTGTACGCGCTTTCTCATAATATTATAATATTACAAAGTATTCATTTTCAATTTTAAAATTGCCACAAAAGCATGAAAAAATAAACCACTTTTATTTTTCAATTTTCTCTTACGTTTTTTATTTTTTATTTTTAAATCTATTTTTAAAGCATAACAACTTTTACACAGTGAAATAACATAACAGTGATAAAAAAATAGTGTGTAAAAGTTAAGTTATGATATAAAAATTATTTGACGAGTTCCTTTAACTTTTTCAAATCAATAAAATATTCAACAAGTCAAGTCCGTTCATAGACCGGTGAATCAAACTGGGTCAAATTATATGCATTTTTAAGTATTATAAGTAATATTAAGAGTAGCTAAACCCACTTAACTGATACAAAGAAGCCGCCTTTAAATACATTTGGAGGTTTCCATAATCTCATAAAAAAAAAATCCAAAGGAAATAGTTCAAAACGTGTTCTAACCATTGGGAACAAGCATTATGCAGTTTTATCTGTTGACTTTCACAGTTACTTACTGCTTATTGACGATTAGCGCCGCTTAATTAGATAAAATTGACAGAATTTCATGATCTTTTTTAGCTCCAGCTGGTGGGTGGCCTATGTATTTGAGCAGAATTTGATGTGCCATTTTCCCTTTCGGCCTTTTGAAAATTCGCCAGGAAAGTTTTCGGCGGTGATGAAGAAGGTTGTGGACAACTTGTCAACATTTTGATAAACGCACATGCTGTGCTTTCCTCTTTTTTTGCCATGACTATGACATTCAGTTAAAAGTCAAATTAACTACCCGTTTTTAGATACAATTTCTATATTAAAAACGTAGATATATAATAAATGATATTAAAATTTATTTAATTTTTTATTAATGTAAATAAATCTTTTTAATTTATTAATAAAAAAAGTCAATATAACGAGAACCATGTTCAAGAGAAGTGATGAGTCTATGATTTATAAATAAAGGTGTTTCTCAATCAATTAATACACATATTTTTTAAATTAAAAATATAAATAAATGATAAAAAAATAAAAAAAATTATAAAAATAAAATAAACTTGTAAAATGTATTCAAATATTTGATTCATTAATTAATACATTATCTCTTTATCTAAAGAATAAAATTCAAAACCTCTCGCTCTCAATTATAAAAAAAAAAAAACTTGTAAAAAGCTGACAAAGGCATTATTAATAGACCGGCGTCTGAGCCCACTATCATCTTACGTAGCCCATTGGGCTACGCCAACCTGACTTCATTGATTGGCCGACCCAAAAAAAATCCTTTTCCAGATTCTAAAACCCCAAACTACTTTTCTTTCTAATAAGAGCCTATCTGCAAAACGCTTACCAATGTGAGCGGCATATTTAGGAGTAGCCTGATCTTGCTGTATGGCTCAATAATGTGAAACTGGTAGGCCAATGTAAATTACCTAAACGTTGCTTGAAGCCCAGCCCAAACCTATATATAATTAACACCAGCGTCCCTCCAACCCAAGCAATCAAAGTAAGGTAGGGTTTTTCCTTCTTCTGATTTGGGAATTTCTAGGGTTTATCTCTGGAAAACCTCTATCCATGGCTACCGCAAGCCATAAAGGAAACCCCACAAATTCAACCAAGAAAAAGAAAACCCACAAAAATCCTGAAGCCAATTTCCTGTATGAGCTCAATTCTTGCTCTAAATCCAAAGACCTCAAAGCCGCAATTTCTCTTTACGAGTCAGCTATTTCCAACAAAACTCGCCTCAACCAGCACCATTTCAACACCCTCCTTTACCTTTGCTCCACTATTTCCACCGACCCAGAGTCCAAAAGCCTCGCTTTAACGTATGGGTTTCGAGTTTTTGACCATATGATGACCTTAAATATCCACCCCAATGAAGCTTCGATTACCGCCATTGCCCGTTTAGCGGCGGCGAAAGGTGATGGCGATTACGCTTTTGAAATGATTAAAAAGTTGGGTGATTATCGGGTTTCGCCGCGGCTTCGTACTTATGAGCCTGCATTGTTTTGTTTTTGCCAGAAGTTGGAAGCTGAGAAGGCTTATGAAGTTGAGGCGGATATAAAAAAGATGGGATTGAGCTTGGAGGAGCCTCAGATTGCTGCTTTATTGAAATTAAGTGCCGAGACAGGGAGAGGGGAGAGAGTTTATGAGTATTTGCAGAAGTTGAGAAGGAGCGTAAGGTGGGTTAGTGAGGAGACGGGAAAGGTTTTGGTGGATTGGTTTTCTAGGGAAGGAAGTGAGGTTGGTTTTGGGGGAGTGACGTATGAGGTGAGTTTTGTGAAAGAGGCAGTTTTGAGGAATGGTGGGGGTTGGCATGGTTTGGGGTGGATTGGGAAAGGGAAGTGGGTGGTGAGGAAAGGGAAGGTGGAGCCGAATGGGCGGTGTTGTTGTTGTGGAGAGCAGTTGGGTTGTGTTGATATTGATGATGTGGAGACTGAGAAGTTTGCGCAGTCAGTTGCAGGGTTGGCTATGGAGAGGGAAGTTAAGGCTAACTTTAGGGAGTTTCAGGTGAGGAAGATTTTTTTGCAAATTGCTTTATTTGGTTTGGATTGGCTTCATTGAGTGTAGTAATGATTTGATTAAATTATGCAATGTTCTGTTTCGGTTTATTTTTATTTTTTGTATTTTTATTGTGTGTGTTATGGTTGATTGAATGTGTTGAATGAAAGACATCTCAGAAACAGTTGCAAGTTTAGACCTTTGTTGTCCCTGTTGCAAAAAAGTTGAATTTTGATTAATTTGCTTTACTTTTTTTCTTTGCTCAGTCTATTTGCTTTACTTATGTGTCTATTGATATAACTTTTGTAGTTCTGGTGTTTGTACTTATTATGATTTGTAGGATTATTAATTACTTGTGATGCTGTTGTTTGTACTTATTGATTGAATGTATTGAATGAAATATCTCAGAAACAGGGTTGCAAGGTTAGACCTTTGTTGCCCCTGTTGCAAAAAAGTTGGATATTTTGATTAATTTGCTTGTTACAATTTAATTATGTTTCTATTGATATAACTTTTGTAATGCTGGTGTTTGTACTTATTATGGCTTGTAGGATTATTAATTACTTGTGATGCTTTTGTTTGGATACATGGATTGGGTTCAAGAATTTCCACAATCCATACCCATTCTCTCTATTCCCAGGCTGCTGGAGTAGAAAGAAACCTACCTGTGCATCCCTTATGGTGATTTCATGTTTTAGGCTTTTTGGTGAGTTAGGACCAACATGATGTGATATGACTAAACTTTCTTTGGACTATAAAAATTTATATAGATTAGCATCAGCTCTTAGGAAAACCTGACAGGAACTATTGTTTTCTTTACTTTCTCTTAATTTGTTAGAAAGGTCTCTTGCAGTGGCAATTTTCCTGCATGCTGTGATAGGTTACTTTCGTTATTATTTAATTTAGAGAAACACAAGAAAAGGTTACAATCAGAACGCTAGTGGACCTATAACTTAACTTCGCTTAAAGAATTATAAAATGTCAAAACATCATGATATTGACATGGTAAAATGATATCTTGATATCACGATATTCCATTTCTTAATGTTTTTCTTTTCTCTTTGCTTGATTCATTTATATCATTCATAAAGGAGTGGTTGGAAGAAAATGCTGATCATGAAGCCATAGTAGATGGAGCAAATATTGGGCTCTATCAACAAAATTTTGCAGAGGGTGGATTCAGCATTCTTCAGGTTGTATATCCAGCAATTGGCTTGTTTCCTTTGCTCTTCTATTGTTCTGTCTCTTCTGTCTCCCTTTTGCTATTACTAATGGTTGTTTGTTTTGTAAAAATTGCAATAGAGCAGCTTGATGCTGTCATAAAAGAAATGTATGGCAGAAGTGGGAATAAATGGCCACTCATCATCCTGCATAATAAACGTGTACGAGCCCTTATGGAAAATCCTTCCTACAGAAAGCTGGTTGAAGAATGGACGAATAATGGTGTTCTTTATACAACACCTCATGGTTCCAATGATGACTGGTAGGAATAATGAGGACAACTCAAATTTGATGCTTTATTTCTTTGATTTTGTTGTAATGTTTAATCCGATTCAATATGGCATCTAGTTTCAGTTAGCACATCTTTCTTTTTTTTTGGTTTTAACTAAACTGTTTTCACATGCTTGCACTACAAAATCTAGCATTGGAGGGAAAACTGTTTTCACATGCTTGCACTACAAAATCTAGCATTGGAGGGAATATATTAGCTTCATCACGAATTAGTCTTCATGCATAAATTCATGAAGGATTCTCCTGTTTCGCAATTGCTAATTGATGTTAATTTGAGCATGACTAAAAATTCTGCTAAAATACAGGTATTGGCTCTATGCTGCTGTAAAACTTAGATGTCTGCTTGTGACAAATGATGAAATGCGGGATCACATTTTTGAACTCTTGGGAAGCAGCTTCTTTCTCAAGTGGAAAGAAAGGCACCAGGTTCATGCTGTCTGAAAATCTAATTGCTTATAACATTATTGTTCTTTGTTTAGTGTGCTTTCATGTTAATTGTTGTTAACCTTTCCTGTTCTGATAGATGTGGTCAAAATTGGATTTGGCAAGATTTTACAGCATGATTTTTACATTATTATTATTTTTCTGCATCATGTATTGCATCAGAAAGCTACTTTATCACATGATAGTATCATGTGTAACACACTGAATCTTGCAACTTCACTACTAGGTTCAGCTAGTCTATGGCACAGTATAAAACATGATAATTTTCTTATGAAGTATTGTTTCGCCTATGTTCTGCAACAATGGCCCAATTCCATCTTGGAACGTGGATCGTCATGCATGACTTCATAAAATTGACTTCTGTTGTATTTGCAGGTTCGATATACTTTTCCCAAAGGAATTCTGAAACTTCAGATGCCACCCTCATATTCTGTTGTCATTCAGGTATCTGTTTTTTGCTGTTGTAGTTTCATTTGGTGGCATGTTCTACTTGACTCTTATGATTTAGCCATTGTCTGACAACTTGTTCATAAACTCCTGTGTTATTCATTGGAATATAAAGATAAGTATCTGTGTTTCAGGAATCAGAAAAAGGATCATGGCATGTCCCCATTGTATGTGACGGCGATGAGGAGTCTGCTAGAACTTGGCTCTGCATTACCAGGCCAGGCGCTTGTGAAGATCTAGGTAAAACTGCTTCCAATATAGAAGCTAGTGAAAATGGTAATGGTCCCTGCTGCAAGCCAGAGATGTCGAACACAAGTGATTTTAAGATACTCCCAAGTGGCAATAGAAATCATGCTAGTCAGGATTTCTTTCAAACGTCTGATGCTGAAACCCCATCTGTTACGGGTAAAAGGAAAGAGAGATCCCCATAATTCACACGGTTAGTGCTATTTATTAATGGCAAGCTGAAGCTGCCTGTTTCAAGCCCATAGTCGTTTTGCACTTGCATTATTTTCAGCCAATCCGAATAATCATTTTTTGCCTCCAATTTTCTATATGGAGCAAGTCGTCCATCCCTTGTAACACCATTGTTGTAGCGTACACCAATTATATTGTATTTCTATGAGTTATTTCGACTAAGAAGGTAACAAGGAATAATTAAGATCGATTTTGCAGTTTTACGTGCCATCTTATAAAGGAAATTTCATATCACTAGGCCCTATGATATAGATGCTTTCCTTCTTCATTTACTGAGATCAACTTCGATCGGGATAGGCTTTGCTTAGTTTGTGTCAATGAATACTTGATATTTTATAGCATTTGAAACTGTCTAATATTGTTTAATCATAATTCATAGATAAATTAAATCAATAGTAATAACAGAATTCCTTAGTACATTGCGAACATAATCAGAATTTGCCACTGACTTGTTCACAAATAACATAACAGACATGAAAATTACTTTAAATGACATTCTACATGATTAAATATTGCACATAACATAACCCAAAAAAAAAAAAAAAGAATTAGAAAGAAAACCCCAAAAAGAGAATGCTAAAATGAACAGGGCTGTGAAACTTATTCTCGTATAATGTAGTACATAATTTTGGACAGCCTCGGATCCCCGGCAGCAACTTACTAATTAGTTGGGTTGCATGAGAATGGCCTCAAGGATTGAGCAAGTGTCGTTGCCAATGGTGACAGTCGAGTAGCCTTCTTCCAATATTTCGGTGTTGATGATGCTGGAATTGCTCAATTTATCATACACAACACGCCAATATAGATCCCAAATTGCTTTATCATTGTTCGTCCAGTGCCCAACTTCACGGATCTCAGACTAAGCCGGCCCACGGAAACATTTGACCTGTTATTAATTGATTTATTAAACGGTGATTTCTTTTAAATTTTTTTGTTCACAGGTAACTACTCGTTTTCTTGTTAGGCTTTTTGTTCATCCAAGCTTGCATCCAATCACGGTCTTCACCAGCTCTATTTTTGCCTCGATTAACAACAGCTCCGGCTGAATTAGCATCAGACTCTGTAGCATTCCCAACGTGCAGAAACACACCCCACTGCCCATTTTCAATCTTTGGTGGGTATGTGCCCCGACTACTCACGATACGTAAGCAACGTTAAGGTGTCGCCGGTGGCATGGTAAATCAGGCAAACTGTAGCTCCTCCAGCGCCTGCTTTATCCGAAAGTTTCTCCACTTGTTGGCGAACCTTAACGTCTTTATGCTCCGAATTTTTCGTCAGGAGAACCACACGTGCTTTGTCTTTGAGTGTGTTATTGTCTTGTCCTGGTTCTCGACCTTTCCCTTAAGAGTTTAATCGGTGATGGGGTTACCAAATACGTACACCATTGTCGGTTAATTTGCAGGCTGCCAACTCTACATATTACTTGTGCTACTCTCTGCCAGGAAAAAGACTTAAATATACCTTTCCAACCGGCACCGACCGACCACTGGGGGAGAAACCCACAACATGCAACAACATCCAAGAACCTTAATTTCATTCGGTTGATCGGGAATTGAAATCCTCTGCCCCGTTCTCTGCTCCACTCACCAAAGTTTGCCACGTAAAATACTAGGAAAATTTTTTTAACATACCAGAATATTTCGTTAAAAGAATTTTCGTCGAAAAAATATGCATTACTTTTTTTTTTTTTGAATGATAAGGAATTTATAAATATATGAGTCTCGCAAGAAAAGTGTAGACTCACAAAATGGTACAACGTAAAAAAGAACATAGTAGATCAAGCTGCAACCCAAATGAACGCGACAACCACAAAGATCCATCAACCAAAAAGCAAACCACGTTGCTTAAGAAACATGAGTGCAACAACACACAACAGACAATAGGGCAAACAAAGGGGATAGCATCAAACATATCAGACTTAGCTTGAAGACAAACTAGAAAAAAACTCGATAAACACACAGAGAAGAGAAGTCCATAGGCAGCAGCGACAAAGCATAAGATGGATAGGATTAGCCAAAGACCTCAATGAGATCATTCGATCCTTCAACCCCATCTTTGGCTAATCAAGCAGCAAGTTGATTTGGAGTGTGAACCACCTTCCCCTTGAGGAGATTGCTTTCCAGACCATTAATCAAGCACAAGATACTTCTCATTCTCCATAGAGCAGAGGGGGGATTGTTTGTACATTTAATGGCGTTAGAGGAATCCGATACCACAATAAGTTCATGAGTTCCAATCTAAGAAGAAGCAGCAAAAAGAAGGAAGGCTTTTTTGATAGCATAGATTTCAACAAGATTACAATCTGTAGAGCCAACATATTTAGAAAAGAGAATCTTGATATTGCCATTACCATCTCTTAAGGCACCATGATACCTGCTTCCCCCGGATAACCCTGGCAGCTCCGTCAACATTAAATTTCATGCATCCACAAGAAGGTTTAATCCACTCAATCATAAGTTTAACTTTTTTCAACAACAACGGAGCCTTAGCAAGTGATGGTTCTCTCACAATATCCAAAATAGTGGAATTATCTCAATGCCACTTGGTATTTGCATTACTTTAATATGACTAACAATGACTAAAGAATATGAAGAGAACTAAAAGGAACAAATTACAGAATTTGTAGTTTAGAAATTACTGTTAAGGAAAATGCGACAGAGATAATTAACGGAGATTTTGCTGATAATGGCATTAAGGAAAACATGGGCAAGAATCAAGGAGTTAAAATCAAGGGATTAACACATGATAGAAATCGAGGAGCTAAAATCAAGTCTTAATTCTTTCTTGTAATTCATTGTACTCTTGCATATATACACCTTAACTCATTAAATAAAAATCACGACTTCCCTCAAATTTTTTTTGCAAGATCTTCATGGTGTCGGAGCCTATACTTGCAAGCCTCATCATGTCAAATTCTACATTTACCAAAGACAAACTCACTATCCAATCCTTTCACCAATGTTCCATCTTTATCTCCATTAAATTGAACTCAATAAATTTTTTACTATGGCGTTCCCAAATCATACCCCTAGTCAAAAGCTTGGGTCTTTATCATCATCTCACGGATGATACAAAACCCTCCAAAGAGACAGCGAATGAGAGCGATAGCAAAATTTCCAACCCATTGTATGAGTCATGCATGACCAACGATGATTTTCTCATTTCTTGCTTACTTAGGACTATGAAAGAAGACATCATGAGCTCCATCTTTAGCCTATAGATAGCATAAGAGGTATGGATATTGTTGGAACAACAACTTCTTTCAATGACCATTGAGAAAGAAGAGCCTTTGAATAACCTGTTGATGACTATCAAGAAAGGGTCGAGATTTTTGGAGGGTTATTTGAAAGATTTCAATTCTATTTGTGACAATTTGCCGCTATCAAATAACCTATTCCAAACCTTGACAAAGTTTTCTAATTTACCCGTGGCCTTGGTCCAAACTATGATAACTTTCGAATAGCCATGCTTACAAAACCACCATATCGATCCTTCACACAATTTATGCATGCTTTCCAAAGTTTTGAGCAGGATCAAATTGCAAAGAAAGATGAAAAAAATGCAGTTTAGGAGCATGCATACGCTTTCTTTGGCAAACGAGGTTTTGGTTGAAACAATCGTGGTGGATGCAAAAACTTTAACTTTATAGGAAAAGGTTTTGCCCCTGCAAGTCGTTAAAACTCAAGGGGCCCTTCTTCTATGGGATGAGGTCCCTCTAGACAGTAGAATAACAATCCTGACAGCCACACTTACTCACAGAAAGGAAGTTCCACAAAGAAACAACAACTATCGACAAGCCAATTTTCTTATAAAAAAAATGGTAAAACTCTTTACCAAATTTGTAATAGAGCAAATCATTTGGCCCTCAATTGTTGGTACAGGTTTAATTATTCATATCAGTCTGAAGAGTGTCCTCAAACTCTTGCTGCACTTTCCATTAATGATCAAAATGATCTAGCCTTCTATGCGAATTCTAGAGTAACCTTGCACATGACAAATGATGTAGGTAAACTTTCTTATATTAAAACATACAATGGCAATGATGTTATCTATGTGGGGGATGGAAATAGTTTACCTATATCTCATGATCACACGTCTAGATATTAGTTACGTAGTGCACATCCTGAGTCAATTTATTGACAAGCCAAGACAACGACACTTTGATGCCGCCATATAAATTCTTTGATATCTCAAAAATGCATCTGAACAAGGCATTTTACTTCCCTCCAGCAGTTCTTTGTCCTTGTGGGCCTATTATGATGCAGATTGTGCTGGGTGTCTTATGACTCGTAGATCCACCACTGGCTATATAGTGTTTTTAGCGTCTTCACCCATTTCTTGGTGGTCAAAGAAACAGTCTGCAGTTTCTCGTTCCACAGCTGAGGCAGAGTATAGGGCAATGGCGATCACTGCAAGTGAGATTGTTTGGCTTTTTTGACTGCTCTTTGATTTGAGAGTATCACATTTGGATCCAATTTTCTTATTTTGTGACAATCAAGCAGCCTTGCATATTGCAGCGAATTTAGTTTTTCATGAACGCACCAAGCATATTGAAAGAGATTGTCATTTCATTCCACAATATATTCAATCCAAAATTTTATTACCCTGAATGATTTCATCTCAATATCAACTAATAGATATATTCACTAAGGCACTTAGTCGAGAGTGGTTTCAAGCTTTGTTGGACAAGTTGGGCATTTCCAATCTTAATTCTCCAACTTGAAGGGGAGTAAAAAAGAATTAAAAGAAGAATTATTTTTGGGATCTATTATTTGCATATAATTGATTCTTGTATATATTATAGATTATTCTCCTAAAATACTTTTCCTTCACATAACTTATTTATAGGGTTGACTAGCCTAATTTTAGGATCTTGATTGCTTGTAATTAGTATAAAAGTCAAACTTGCCATTCACTAATACACAAACCGTGAACACAATTCACATTTTCATAGGGAGTTTTTTTTTTTGTGGATTTTAGGGTATTTTTTGAAATTTCTTTTTTAAAAAAAAAAAAATTTGTTTTTGAATCTTTCTGCCTTTCTTCTGTAGTGATTTTTTGCATGGGAATTTTATAATGGGAAATGAATTTTATAGGAGAAAAATTTAGAATTTAGAAATTTGGCTTTAGGAGGGTTGCTGCATATGGCAGCACTAATTTTTGGGTGTACGAGAAAGACATTGAGCTTGCTGAATTTTGGGGTTGTGGAGGTGCGGCCAATTTTGGAGTTATGGAATTTTCATAAATTTGGACTAGTGGTGAAAGGGATAAAATGGAGCTGAAAATGGGGTGGCAATACGGGGAAAAGAGAAAGGTTGGTTGCCATGGCTGTCCAGCTTTCTCTCTTTTCTTCTTCTTCCCTTTTCTGTCATAATATTTTTTATATTTCATGAACTTGAATTCATTTTGAGCTACCAAAGTTTATATGATTCAAAATTTTAATTGCACTAAATTTTAAATTCATGTAAAAATAAGCTCAAACAAATTCAGTTTAAATAAGGTCAAAGATATATCTAATCCAAAATTAAAATTTAAAATCAAATGAATTTAATTTAATCTAAATAATTATTTTATCATAAACTTTAAATTATTTCGAACAATATATGTTGTCTAGAACGTCTTTTAACATCTGATTACATGCCTCGTAAGGCAAGGAATGTGAATCTTCATAAAATATTCTTCCCATTCTATAAATCTTGGATCAAAGTTAAATACTTCTAAATCGATTCCGCTCTCTTTGGCAACCATTCGCAGCCTTTCTAAATTTATGTCATCGAAGCTGTTGGGAGAAAAAAAAGAGTAAGAGTTCAAAACGTTATGGTTAAAGACTATAACTTGTTAAATCCATATAACAAAGTAGTAATAGATACTTACATGCCCTTGAAGAACACATAAGGCCTGTAAAGTTCTGCTAATCTCATCACTGATTTGATTTTATGATCATTGATATTATAAACATTCTTAAAATATCGAGGGCAAAGTTTACTCAGCAAGTACAATCCCTTCAAAGTTAAAATAAGATAAGAGTAAGGTAACAGAGAAAGGAAAGAGGAAAACAAACAATTTGAGACCATTTAGATTAAGATTTGAAAATATTATGACGGTAATGGGATTTTTGAGTATCTGCCTAAGAAATCATATATGTCTAGGCATTTACAAGTGATATGACTAATTTCTTAATAAACCCTTGGATTTAAATTACTTTGATGATGACAAACCTTTAATGGCAGCAAATATCGAATCTTCATGTACAGCCTGAATCTATACATGGTGCTCAACATTAATGGTTTGCGAGCTCTAATTGGCTTTCCATTTCTATCAATCAATGGATTCTTGGTAAAATAATGGTAGCCAAAATGATGAACATTCAAAGAATTCATAGGATTTCTCAACGACGAACCAACATGGTAAATAACATCATCACAGGATTGATTTGCATGAGTCATCATGGCAACGATCATGGCATTTATAACCATGTCTGCTGGTATCTGCAAGGTTTTAAATAAAAACTCAAGATTACGACCAAAGGAAAAATAAAATTTCATGAACATATTTATATACAATTCTTACAAAAAAAAATGGTTTAACATATACTATAGTTTCGTTTAACTCAAATTAACTCACCAAATCAACCGTCACCTTAGGATTCCCAAGAAAACAGGTTATGTTCCCTTTACCAATACCAACAATTACGCTATCAATAGTTCTGCAACAAGCAGAAGTGAGTTAAAGAACTTTTAAATAAGGACGACATCTACTTTTTATTTTCGCTATAGTTACCTCAGGCCTTCAATCCAGCCAGGAAAAGGTTCTTTGAAAGTACTGGTAACAACGGCAGGGCGTACGATGACAAGAGGCAAATTACCTTTGAAGTTCCCTACAAGCATCTCTCCCATCGCCTTTGTAAATACATATGTGTTTGGCCATCCAAAAAGTCTTGCCCTATAACAAAAATAAATTTCGTTTCATTTTCTATTTTAAGTTATATTCTTTCAATAAAGAAAAAAAAAATCTCAATTAAGACAATAGTAATATTTTAAATACATGTTGCACACATGGGATATAGGTCTAGTTTGGGCCTCCAAAACGTTATATATGGACTTGTCCCTTAATTGCTGACAGTTTCAATCTCTCTTTGCAAAAAAGCAAGAAAACGAAGACAAAGCGCATAGGGTTAAGCCTAATCTAAAGAGGAAAGGGGAAAGTTTCAGCTGAAGGTGTAAAACTTCAGAAGCCTGAGGAAACCTGTTCACTACTCCGGTCACTCTAGCCAAAATAAACAGATAGTATGAAATTTGGAATATAATATATATATATATATATATATATATATATATATATATATGCTGCAAGCATGTTCTAGTTTATATTTTCAGAGACCTTTCAGTGCCCAAATCTTTCATGACTCGAGTAATTTCCTTTTCTGAAGCTCCCTGTGCCTGGAGTTGTTTCAATTCTTCCTCTGCCACTTTCATCTCAACATTAATGTCTAAGCCAGACACACCATTAAGTGTTTTTCCCATGCTAAATGAGCTTTCTAGTATGAGCCCTGACTTTTCTCCAGCCACATAAGCTGTAAATTAAAACAAGATATATAATTTTACCAATCATTAAGTTGAAAATTATTAGTTTATCAATAGATAATTACAAAAAAAACGACTATTAATTTCAAGTACCCATTCATTGATATATAATTAAATAAAATAAATATATTAAGTGGAAATCAAAGGAAGAGGGAAATTATTGTCTTCAGTAACCTGTGGATACATGGACAAACACCTTTAGTTTGGCACATTTCTTGGCGAAATCTAAAACGTGTTTAGCTCCCAGTGCGTTGAGGCCAAGTGCCACATCATATCTGCATTAAGAGAAAATTCATCATCAAAAGAAACAGATTAATTAGTATTATTTTACATAAAATCTATTAAAAAAATTGATTTATAATATATATACAATATATACCTTTCATCAAAATTGGTTGTTGCAGCTGAGTTGACCACAATATCTACTTCCCTCCACAACTCTTTTTCCAATTTGGAGTTTTTCAAAACCAAATCCTCGTGAGAGATATCCCCAGGCACAACAGTAATTTTTTCTGATATGAAGGAATTAAAATTGTTGCCCCATTTTTCCTTCAAGACTTTAAACAATTCCTTCCCTATGATCTGCAAACAAACGTATAATAATCCCAAAATTATGCATAGTAATAACTTCAATTTTTCTGGATGAATTATAAGAAATTAACTCAGCTAAAAGAAGCAAAAAGAGTTTAATTGCACCAAAAAAAGAATTTCCGCTGCAGTGAGTAAAGTCATATACATATATTTGTATAGTTACAAACCTCATTATGGAAGCGTTGTGTAGCAGATTTTAAGTCTTCTGCTCTTAAAAGAAGATAAAGCTTCTTCACATTTGGTTGAACCCTCAGTATTTTCTCCACAAAAACTGCAATATTTCACAGAAACAATCTCATCATCAAAGCTTGATTAATGTTACGAAGAAAAGGACAGGCAACAAGAGGTTGTTTTTCTTACTCTTTGCCAAAAACCCAGTAGCACCAATGACAAAAATGGACTTGTTGTCAAGAAACTGGAGGACACTTCCCGATTCCATTGATATTACACTTAGGTTGCCACTTTCCAGGTTATTGCACTTATCTTTTATTGATACATATATTCATATTCATGTTGCCCCATTTATATTGCTTTACACTACTATAAAATAATAGCACATATAAATCATTTGTTTAATTTCCTTTGCACAAAAATCTCTTCGATCAAGTTCATTTAAAATAATAGATTTGGTATCCCGATCGAGTATGGCTTTGCCTATCCGGATCAAGTTCCTTTCCAACCAATATATCTCTCCAAAATGTTTTTTTAATATTATATGGCTCTGGTAGGGGAAAATCAGGTCTTGCAAGTTGTGGAGAGATTTTAAGAAATTCATTTGGCTCTATATATGGGTGAGAATTCCTTTTTTGGTACTCTCGGAGTACCAGGATTGAATTTTGCTGAGTTAATGGCTATTAAAATTGCTCTCTAAGTTTTCTGTCCATCATCTTGGGTCGAAACAAAGTCTCATATTGTTAAATCTGACTTCAAAGTGGCTATTTCTTGAGTGTGTAATATGAATTCAAGATCATGGAATATATGAAATGTTTAACGAAATTGACAGACCAAGGTAAACTACTGAAGATATTGTTTTGTGCATACTTTCAAAGAAGCTAATTCTTTTGCTGATCATTCTTTAGGTAAACTATTAGATATTGTTTTATACATGGTAGTATGGTTTGAGGACATGCATGATTCTGAATATTTGTTTTTTGGTTAAGTTTCTGATCTTTGTTTTCTCTATCCCTTCGATCAACTAATTTTTTTATTTGAAATATAAGTGTTATATCAATTTCTGATATCTTGCTTATTAGTTTCTGATATTAATTAATTCTTCTTTGACTATATATACATGTATGGTAAAATCCTGCCTTTATAATTGCATGATTAGTAAAATGTTCAATCAATGCATTTGGTTCAAATTTCCTTATCCAAAATCAAATAAAAGAAAAAGAAAAGATTGAATCTGTTGGAGTCTTCAATTTTATGTAAAATTTGAAACAAAAAAAAATCAAACAATTTACATAATTCGGATATATATAAACAGCCTGTCCCAAGGCATACATATAAACAGCCTGTCCCAAGGCATACATAACGTACACGGACTGATCTCTACACGATCTTAGCTGACGTGCAAATCAAAGCAGCGTAGAGATATCATCTCCAATCTTTTAATTGATTGTGGTTTCTTAAAGGGAAAAATCTTTATACAGCTCCTCAAGCTAATAGAGAAAAAAGCAGTCACGTGGCTAATGTGCTGGCAAAGATTGGTGGGAAGTAATAGGTTTTATGGAAGGGAGGTTATGCTGACCCCATCTTTTTGTATTGGCAACTTGACTATCTTTGCCTTGAAAGAAATGTACAGGGTTTTATGAAATGAAATCACATACCTTTCAAAAAAAAAGTTGTTGAAACATTAATTAGATTGGTAAAGTTCTACTCAATTTCTTGTTTTCTATTGCTTAATATTTAAATAAGTAAATCTTTTGCTTGATATGGATTGTGTTCAAAATTTAACTGCGAAATACAAGTAATGATTATGTGCAAGTGCACACGGTCGTAACAAGTAATATAGTAATAAGTAGAGTTGTCGATCCCTCGAGGAGCTGATTTATTGTTTGTTACTAATTACTAAAATTGTAACAAGTTAAGTTTTATCCAAGCAATAAGAGAAACAAGTTGTTAAAATTGAAATAAAATTTACTCTAAAAGTCTACTTTAACCTAAGGACTGCAAGTTAAATATGCAGTGAGGAAACAATATAATTAAGGCCTAGGATTGTGGTTTCAGCTATTGCTTTGTAAGGATACAAGATTAATCAACTATCTACTTTTTATGAGAATCAATGTTAGTCTAGGTTCCTAAGCATGTATGGTACTCCGTCGAGTTATCACACAATTGCCTAGCTTCATTAACTATCTATATGTCTATAAAACACTAACTAAAGCTAAGTTCACTAAGTTTAGGACTTATAGTGAGTAGTGACTATGTATGATTAATAGGTATATGTCTATCCTATTAATTAATAACTCACTTAATTTCTTAATATGGGATGAACATACATTACTCAAATTTAGGTCCTTTCAAATTGTCCTTCTCAGGCCTCATCTAAAACTCTTTACTCAACTTGTTGGTGATTAAACAACAAATGAGACAATAAGCATGAATTT